GTTTACCAATGATGGGAGGCTTCAATTTGGCACTTCTAGGCGTGAATTGGCTAGTGCTGGGGAACGCTTCCTGCAGACTTCAGGGAATGAAATGGAGTGTTTTTGAAGATTCCTTCGATTGGGACCACTTATGAGAATTTTGATAGCTTTAGTATGGCTTATGAGGCAACGTGTGCGTGTGAGACAGTCTATGGGTGTAGTTTATGGGCTTATGTCTCCAATGTGGGTGTATCTAGTCCTCTAGTCTTTTTGCCAATGTTTTTCTCTCTTCCTGGCGAATGTGTATAGCTTTATATTTATAGGGACGTGAGGGTACGTGGAAATGGAAAGGTACATCCTTTTAACTAGGCTTTGAAGGTCATGAGACAAGAATCCAACACATTGAAAGTTGGCCATATTTGGATAATTCTTTCCATTTTGAAATGTTTAATGAACCTATACACATTTGGCTTTTCGAATACCTTCCAACCTTTCTCTTCTATTAGCCCTGAGTTTTTTCCTTCGAATGTCTCAAGTCTTGCCTTTTGATTGACTCTGAGTTACTTCCTTCGAATATCTCAAATCTCATCATTGGGGTCTCTTCGATTGAGCCCATACTCTGCTACCCCAAACAAAAACTTTTGTCTGGCCAATCGAATCTTCCTTTGGCATGAATGTTCTTGTGCATAAAGCTTAAGTATGCCAATATGTGGGATTTTTGGGCCAGCAAGCATCTTTGCATACTTCTCTTTCGTTTTGACCAACTATATCCAATCTTTTACCAAATCCTTTTTTCAGACAACACTATGTATCCTTCGAATGGGCCTTTGAATGCTTCTTTGAATGGATCATTTACATGTCTTTCGAATGGGAATTTTGAATGCTTCTTCGAATGGATCATTTACATGTCCTTCGAATGGGCCTTTTTCCTGGTGTGCTGGCAAGTTGAGAAGTCTCGGCCTTGTGCATTAAAAGCAAGAACAGAGGAAGTCTTTTCCTTATGCATTGAAGGCAATCATAGAAGGAGCCTTTGCCCTTGTGAATCGAAGGCCAGTTGAAGGCAGTTCTTGCCTAAATGAAACTTGGACTAAGGCTTGTTCGAAGGGGAACCAACGTGTAATCGAAGCTGATGGGCTAATGCTTTATCGAAGGGTTTTAGATGCCCAATAGAAGCTTGCAGACATGCCAATTGAAGGACCCTTTGCTCTGAAATTCCAATCAAAGGACATTGTTCAGATTCCAATCGAAAGACATTGTTGACATGCCAATCAAAGGACACTATTGACATACCAATCGAAGGACACTGTTGACATGAAAATCGAAATACCCTTTGCTCTGAAATTCCTATCGAAGGAAATTGTTCATATGTCAATCGAAAGACAATGTTGACATTCAAATCGAAGGACACTATTGACATGCCAATCGAACGACACTTTGTTATCATTCAAAAATTTCATTTTCTTTAGGCAAGTATTTGTAACCACCCATGTAAGAGAAAATCTTGGGAAGCATGAGAGGGAAAATTTTGGGAAACTTGGGAAACATATGTCAATCGAAAGACACTATTGACAGCCTCATAATATTTGTGACTGTTTTTATTAGGCCAACAACCTTTATTAACTTCACAATGTCAGGACATTTATCAAAATCCTTCCCAATTTATCTCTCCAATGCTAACCTTCTTTGATAAACATATTTAAGTTTTTCAGTGTTGTACCCATAAATTTCCCTCCCATTTTCACTCAAGGCATGCCTCTAGAGGTCCTCAATTACTCAAGGATGACTATGAATTTACCAGACAAATTCTCCTCCTAAGGCAACAAACCTCAACAAAGGTTTCAATTTTAAGCAAGATGGGTGAGTCCAAAGGATCCAAAATGTTCTCCATAGTCCTAATATGTCTTCAAGATTATCCATGCCAAATTTCATGCCTTTCACAATAAGTTTGCTCAGTCAATTGCTCAAGTATTGGAAAATCAACTATGTTAGGTCAAAAGTCAACAGTGGCCCATGTACAGTCAAAATTCAATTTTTTTGGTTGACATCAACATTTTGAAGTAATATCCATCATTTTATCAAGGTTTAATTATGATTCCTCAAGAAATGCTCCTAACTCATCAAAAGTAAGAAATGGCAAATTAGGGTTTCTATAGGAAAAGTCAACCAAAATATGACCAGGCATAACTCTCTCATACTTTATCAGAAAATTTTCCTCCAAGGCTCATTTTGAAGATATTCCAATTCCCTACAACTTATCTTCAGCCCTCAAGTTCAAGAAATGCCTCAATCAAAAGATACAAGCTCACACATTACAGGTCATTTCAAAAAGTCAACAAAAACATCTTTTGGGTCAAAGCTCCTTACATGAACATGGAAGATCCAATTGAGATGGAACCAAAAGGGTTGTTTAGAGGATATCCTAATATCTCTAAAAGTCCAAGAAAACACTCATAGGATTAAAAATGAGAAAGATATGCATTGCTAAAGTTGACAAATTTTAGAAAAAGCACAAAAGTCAACGTGAGCAAATTGGATCTTTTGGACTAATGGTTGTGGGTTTTGGATCTCAGGCATATCCATGGAATTATTTAAGATATTTAAATCCATTACTTTATTTTTATGAGATTTGTTTTTATTTATTTTAATTTTTATTCATTTAAATCATAATAAATCAAATAAAATAGTGAAATAATAAAATAAAATCCAAAGATTTGTTTTATGATCATATAATGAGTCTAGGATCTGATGAGCAAATCATGATTTCATGCAAGGGTTGATTGGAAAGAAAAGAGCATGTTTTGGCCAAGTTTAGAAACTTAAAATTTCATAGACAAATCAAATATTTTTCACATAAAGTTCCAAGATTCAGTCTACTGTTGTTACCCTAATGCATCCTAGTATATATATGCATAACATTTCCTGACCAGAAAAAGGAGGATTGGCCGCATAGAACACACACAAAAAGTTCCATTTTTTTCACAAAAAGTGGCAATCAGAATGATAGTTGCAGGTGGATTCAAGGAGTTTTGACGTTTGCAATCCATTCTTGGGAATATTCTGAAGCTAACAGCACCATTCTCAAGCATCAAAGCACCTCAAATCGTCACTTACATCATCACAGTTTGCACCTTATTTTTTGAAATCGATTTTGATCATACATGCATTAGAAATAAATTTTGAGTATACATTCTTGTTTGTATGAGCATTTAGAACGTATCTGAATGGTTAATTTCCAGTTTTGATGCATATATGATAACCTGCCATTATTAGGGTTTAAACAGTCGTTTTAGGGTTTTCATGTACAGGTGAAATTGGGCCTAATAAAGGACACCATCATGCTCAGAGTATCAAACCCAGTTGATCCATGACTTTGAATTGGATTTATATTGCTTGTGTGAGATTTTTGAGATTTGAAGGTGTTTTAGTGACGGATATAGTCCGTAGGTAAAAGTGCTAGGCTAAAATGACGGACAACTAAAGAAGATGATGGTGTGGCATGACATGGTTGGACCATTTGAAATAGTGCGCGTTTTTGCATAAAAGAGATTCTGGTCATTTATTTGAATTATATTGTTTTTTGTTACTTTCATATAACAAATGAACACTTGGCTCAGACGACAAAGGAAGCGCGCTGGAAGGGAGAGGTACTGGGTTTGAGTCCCAGGTCCAACGTTTTATGTTTTCTAATTTATTTCTTACAGATCCAGTGTATTACACTCCCAAGCGCGCATCATGGGTCAACCACATCATCACCATCAGATCTATCATCCCCAAATCCAGCGCCCCTGGAAATGCCTCCTCATGATGGACCTGCCTTACACCACCACACCAGATCACACACAAGATTGTGGGCCAACCAGACCTGGGCTTTGATACAATTCAACAACACCCCCTGCAATTGGGTGTACACCCCCTTAGACCCATTCTCAATTTCCTTTTTCTTTTTATTTAGTTTTATATTTTTTTTTAGTTTACTCTTTTTTTTAATCATAAAATCATAAAATCATAAAATCATAAAATCACCAAAAATAATAGATTTAGGTTTTCTAGTTAAATTTAATTTTTTTGATAAATAAATTAATTTGGCTTAATCATTTTGACTTATTTCATTAATTAAAATTAATTAGAGAATTAGGGTAAAATTCAAATTGTTTTTCATAAAATACAAAACAAAAAAACATTTTTTATAAACAATTAGATTTTTTAGGGTTTAAAACTTTTTTTCGTCTTAATTTTGCGCACTCTTATTTTTTTCATACGATTTATTTTTTTACCATTTATTTAACTGCGGCCGATTTGTAATAGTTAACTTAGGGTTTTTATTTCCGCATTTTACTTTTCGTTCACTACTTATGTATCTACACCAAAGCCCTGTAATAGCGTATGACTTTATTTCTCGCTTTTTCTTTACATGCTTGTATATAATTGTTATTAACGTAGGCGTGCATGACAAGAATCAATTAATCATTAGATCACTAATTACAAAATAAATATAACTTAAAAAACACATTGTTGCACACTTGTACCGTAAGGGTATACCTCACTTGGTTGCCTCAGAAAATAATGATCATGTGCCTCAATATATATATATATATATATATATATATATATATATATATATATATATATATATATATATATATATATATATATATATATATATATATATATATATATATATATATATATATATATATATATATATATATATATATATATATATATATATATATATATATATATATATATATATATATATATATATATATATATATTTATTTATTTATGTATAATAAACTCACTTAAAAATAGAAAAGTTTAAAAATAGAAGAAACCACATTACAAGCCTTAATTACGTGAAAAACACAAAATCCTATTCCTAATAATAGAAACAAACTAAAACATAGTAATAATAACCATAAAATATTTAACACATTATATATAAACCGCACTTTCTAACTATTTTTCTCATCCCTCACTTCCAAATATCACATATCAATTAATCTTGAACTGAGAGTACAATGGATTCCAAAAACGTTTTCCTCATCCTTGGTCTATTGGCCATGGTTCTTAGTTTTACATCAGAGGTGTCAGCTAGAAAATTAACTGAGACTTCCATAAATGCCAAAGAGAGTGAGCTAGTTATACATTATTTTTCTTAGTTTAGTCTCCAAAATATGAGTAGATATGTTATTTTCATGAGCATTTTAAGGATATTTTATATTCTTTGTAGATAATTTCTTTCGGATGAAAACAAGTAGATATCTATACCCATAATATAAAATAAATTTTAGATTTAAATTCATATAATGTTGTATTTGCAGATGTTGTTGAAAAGTCAAATGAAATTAGTGTCCATAATCATGGTCATGGTGAAGGCTTTGGTCATGAAAGCCATGGTCATGGAGTCCACAGTCACGGTGGTGCAGCCTCCGGTTATGATGGTGGAGGTTACAGTCACGGTTATAATGGCTTCGGTAACATTGGTGGACTTTTCGGTCATGTTCATGGTGGTGGCGGTGGACATGGTCATGGTCATGGTCATGGTCATGGTGGTGTTGGTGTTGCCAACCATGGTAAATGATTATATCTTCATGTATGGACATTCCAAGTGTAATAAGTTGTTTCACAAATTAATAATGTTGAGTTGAGTGTTATGCAAAAGAGGTATAGAGAGAGATAGACATGAATCTTTTTGGGGTTATCTATCTTGCCGTAAGATATTTTACAACTCTATTAGTCGTGTCTAAATTACATTATCACTATGTATATGTGGTAATGAGTTTGATTTCGAGTTAAAGTGGTGAATGTGTTATCATTTGTAATATATCAAAGATCATCATCCTTGTTACTTGTTAGTGCTTTGTCTCCTTTTAAACTTATACATCGATATTGCTGATTCGTCTAGCAAAATTCGTCGATAAACTGCCAGAACAAGCAAATGTTAAGGTGAGAGACTATTGAAGCATATATGCTATTTTATTAGTTACTTTCTTCATTTTTCTTTTTTTTTATTAGTTATTTTATGATTAATTAACTTTTTTTAATCAAAATTTATACATAAAAAATCAGAAAAAAACCATATAATAAAATTATAAAAAATTTAATTTTAGATTGTAAATTAATTAATTAATTTTTTGGACAATTAGATTTTAGACTTTTTATTAATTAAAATCAATTAGAATTAGGATTTCAATTATTATTAATTAACACTTAAATTATTTTCATAAAAACACCAAAAATATGAACTTAAATTTTTAAGGCATTTAAATTTTTTTTCAACATTTTCTTATTTTTTTTGCTATTTATTTTCTTAGACAATTGTATAGGTCGCATAGTTTAATGTAATAGTTTAAGTTTACATCCCCACATTTTTTCTAATTATGTAAGTCTCCCAAAGTCCTGTAATAGCATAGATTTACATTCTCGCTTTATCTTTTGCCTTTATATATATATATATATATATATATATATATATATATATATATATATATATATATATATATATATATATATATATATATATATATATATATATATATATATATATATATATATATATATATATATATATATATATATATATATATATAATATATATATATATATATATATATATATATATATATATATATATATATATATATATATATATATATATATATATATATAACGGATAATAAATAGGCTTGTATGATAAGAATAAAATCAAACATATATAACCTTAACTTTCAAGATAACATAACTGAAACCAATACACTTTGCACACTTCACCTCTAGGGTAGCCTCTCTTCGTTGCTTTGTGATAGTCCCTCGAAAATAGAGATACTTTAGCAAAAGACCCTCGAATAAAGAGCATGATTCTTCGATGATCCTTCGATGTTTCCTACAAAAAATGATATAATCCCTTCGAATTACTAAAGTATCCATACATGTTGCCTTCTATGACCATACGAAGACCCCACGCCACCCCCTTCACATCCAATAGATAGGGAAACCTACCAACTAATGGTGTGGATAATATTATCTCTAACGGAGAAGGAAAATAACAAGAACGACCTTTAATGGGTAAGACTCAATAAATTGCTTGCTCATAACAGTTTCAAACAAACAAATTTATTTTTACACCTCACGTTTCAATACAAATATTTTCAAACACTTTGTACGCATTCTTGAGAATTGATACAAGAACCATTAAAAAGTTAGCTGTAGGCTTTTTCAAAATATTTTTAAACAAATCACATACACAATAGAAAATTTCAAAAAGTGAGCTAACGATTAAGAGCCCGTAGATAACTACTGATGAAAAGGGTGTTAACACCTTCCCTTTTCATAACTTACCCCCCGAACTCAAAATCTATCAAGGTCTTTCCTGTTCTTTTCAGCCTTTCTTTGTTGGATAAAAGAAAAGTCGATGGCGACTCTTTCTAATCGCGATATTTACATTAAAATGCTAAAAAAGTTAGTTCTCCCACTGTATTATATGTACTAACACCCCCTTGTGTAATCGACTCCCTTACTCGATCTCTCGGTTGCAAGATCATGATTTCTCCCTTCTCAGGTTTTTCTTCGATGATTTTCCTTTATTTTTCTGTGGGACGAATAAATACTCGATGATAACTTCATTAATTTTCTCTCGATAATTTTCCGCCAGTTGTTTTAGTTGGCGACTTCACTGGGGACAGATTGACCAATTTTGGTCGATCCAGTGAGTTAGTCATAACTTTTTTTGTTTTCTTTTCATTGGGTATTTATCTTTATGCTTTATAGCTTGTTCATTTATACATGTTTATCTAAGCATATGTATGCATTGTATTTTATCACTTTCCAATTATTGGTTATTACTGTTATGCAAGATCTTTTGTGTTTCCTTGTTGGGTGGGTGTTACAATTGAAGTAAAATGCCCAATATCCAGGTCATAGTTTTAAACACTTAGGAACACATATGAATAGTGGAGACACGACGGCTACTGGACCTTGGTCTTACTAGTGCGGTCATGTGTGCCATGCTTAGACGAGGTACAAGTGAGGTACTATCTTTATCATGTAGGTGTAATGATGATAGTATTTCTAGGCGAACTCTTGACTCTGAGTTACTTTGACCTTACTCGGACCTCGACTTCAACCGTGAGTGGGGAAGGTTTGATCTTATAGGTACCATTGGTGACTCTGTGGTTCATTTGGTCATGTTCTGGACTTCTGTTGGTGACTATGTGTTTCTTGTGGTTTATGTTCCGGACCTTTGATTATGGTATTCACGGCATATTCAGAACAGCATAACAAGTATCTAGTGTTGTGGAAGCTTTATCTCGTATCATGTTACTTACATCATAAAATTTTTACTTTCCTTTTTGTAAAAAAAAAGAATATGAAAAAAGCTAATTTGCATATGCATATCATTTGCAACATATTTTAGGTTGTTATTTTTATCAGGAATTGATAGCAACATAGATATTGGAAAAGAGCTGCTTATGGAGATCTTTCATTACCAGTTTCATGGCTTTGCTTTAGCTCCATAAAGGGAAGTGGGAGCTCCTGTGGATGGTCTGAATGAGAAGGTTTCCAAATATAGTTATGGGAATCTGTTGACGTTACTGAATGTTGAGTATGAGAAATGGGTCATGGTGTCGCTTTTCAGATTCTATTTTCTCTTCTACTTAGGATTATTGAAACTTGTACTAAAAGTTGTAATCCATGTTGAAGTTATTATAATAAAAATTTCAGTATTTCAAAATGTGTTAGTACTTTAATATTTGCAAATCGTCTATAATTTTTTGAGTCCCTTGAAATATTAATAATGATAAATAAATAATATGCATTGCATATCATGCATCATTTTGCACATATATTTTGCATATTTGTTCATACCCAGGTGTCTTACTCTGTTTCTCTACTTCGTTTAGAAGCAAGATGTCTCACCAGTATAATACTCAGGCTAATTCCAGGAAGAAAATGGAGAATCTTGAACAAGATAATCGCGAGCTACGCGAAGAGGTTACCGCTTTGAAGGCCGATATGGCTAATTCGAATTCTTTGATGGAATCATTGGTGGCTGCTCAAAAGCATCCACCACTTGTTCCTCCTTCTGCACAACCACAACAAACAACAGTTGCTTCTGAAGTTCCGTCAGTTCCCGTTTCTACTACTCCAATTACTGTTGCTCAAAACCGTATGCCTTAGGGTTACCCGTAGGGAATGCCTAAAAACTTCATGCTAGAAGGTTACAATCTTGATGCTCAAATTTATCCAGTTGCTCAAGCTGCTGCTATTCCTGCACCTTTTGTGGTGCATGTTAATCTTGTGGCTAGGAATGAGATCCATTATATTGCACCTCTTACGGTGAATGTTTTTTCGTTTGTTAATGATGAAATTTATCGTCCTGTTACTCCACCGAGTGAAAGTGTGGGTTTCTATGGTCGATTAGATGATTTTCAAGATCAATTCAATGAGATGCAAAAGGAAATGAAGGCTCTTCGAGGAAAATAATTATTTGGACAGAACGTTAGTGAACTCTGCTTGGTTCCTAATGTGAAAGTGCCAGTGAAGTTTAAAGTTCCGGAATTTGAGAGGTACAATGGAAACTATCGTCCTCATGACAACCTAGTAATGTATATCAGAAAGATGACAGCCCATACTTATCATCAGCGTTTGCTTATTCATTTCTTCCAGGATAGTTTAACCAGCGTGACTTTGAAGTGGTATATGAGTTTGGACAGTAGAAATATCCACACCTTCAATTATCGTGGGGAAGCCTTCATCAAACAGTATAAGTACAATATGTTCATGGCTCCTGACCGTGACCAATTGAGAACGATGGCTCAGAAAGACAAGGAGTCGTTTAAAGAATATGTGCAGCGTTGGCGCGAGATAGCTGCCCAGGTGGTACTCCCAATGGGAGAACATGAAATGACCAAGGTCTTCCTGAAAACCCTTGGATCATTTTACTATGAAAGGATGGTCACCAGTGCGCCGAGCGATTTCACCGAAATGGTAAGAATGTGTGTTCATCTAGAGGAAGCTGTCAGGGAAGGGCGCTTGACGAAAGACGAAGGGACAAAGAATTCATCATATGGATTTTCTCGAAAGAAAGAAAGTGAAACAAATAATGTCATTGGGGAAAGGAAAATTTGACCACCTAGAAGATATCAGCGGTACTAATAACAAGTTGCTTTTGTAACTCTAGTTGTCAATGCAGCTTCAACTACTATTGCTTATCAGAGACCACTTCCTCAGGGAAATCAAGGATAAAGTCAGAAGAGAGAAGCTTTTGACTCTATTCCAATGAGTTATGCATAGTTATTACTGGCTTTAATTTAGAAGAAGTTGGTTCAGACCAGGCCTCCCCCTGCTATACCTTAACCTTTTCCATGGTATTATAAGGAAGATCAGACTTGTGATTTTCATCAAGGAGCCCCAGGGCACAACATCAGAAGTTGTTATATCTTAAAATCTAAAGTATATAACATGGTGAGATCTGGCCTCCTACCTTTTAAAGATGTTGGTCTTAATGTGAAAGATAATCCTTTGCCTAAACATGGTGGTGCAAATGCTATAAATATGGTTGTTGGTTGTCCCGACGACTTC